TTTGACTTCTTTTTTTTTAGTTTTGTTTTAGTTTAGTTAGTTTTTTTTTTTTTAACACACCGAAAATAGACCAAAATAGATCAAAACTTAGACAACTGAAATCTAGATGGAAACAAAAGGAAATCTACGATTCCTATTCTACCATTAATCAACACAGACAAAAAGAAAACAAATAAACATTCATCCCAACTCAAATCCATGAAATTCAATTAAACATGCTTGATTGATTTTATTCATAATGTCATCATCTAATACAATTCTAGCACATGAAATCTAAAGAAATTGAGACAAACATAGCAAAAGTTTTCGGAAAGAACAGATCAAGATAGGAGGGAGGAATCCCACCTACGGGATCAAGCTCCAATCATCTCCCTCACTGCTCTTCCCAAAACTTTCTCTGATAAGAAAATTTACCTAAGAGGAGTCAACCCAGAAAATGTGCTTTCACTGGAAACTCAATGATCCTTCTTTCAACCGTCGCCCCAAAACAGAAATCCTTTCCCTTTTTTTTAGAACTCTGCAGGAAATCCAGAAGGAAAAATAACTGAAATAAAAACCGGAAGGAAAGAGGGAAGGCCGAGAGTAGAAGAAGACTCTAGTCCCCTTCAAAATGCTTGTGCAGTCCTTCCTCTCAACCGCTGTTGTTACCCCCTTTCTTCCCCATGAAATCCCTTTCTACTGCTCTTCGAAAACTCAGAATGAGACTCCCAAAACCAAACCCAAAATCAACAAAAGACCTCCCTTTTGATCTGACTTTTTTCTATATATATACCCAAATAATAAAATAAAATAAAAATAAAATAAAAACTTCCTCCAACAAGCACTGATGATGCCGATTTTGTCTGGTATGCGCTGTTTTTTTCTATAGGTGAGGCAAGAACAAGGCTGTAGCAAGCAGGAGTGCAGAGGCGCAGGATTGGGGGCGCAAAGTGCAGGAGGCGCAGCAGGGCAGAGGGGCGTAGCAGTACAGGGGCGTAGGCTCGGTGCAGCAGCAGGGGTATAAAGGGTTGCAAAAGAGGGGAGCAGGCTCGGTGCAGAAGAGGGGGGTGCAAGAGGTGTGCAGGGGGGCGTAGGAGTGCACGAAGTAGGGGTGCAAGCGTGCAGGGGGGGCGTAAGAGTGTATGATTGCCGATGATGGTTGGCGATTGTGGCTACCGGCTGGTTTGGGGAGGAAGCTGGTTTGGGAGAGAGAAAACTAAAGATTGAAGACGAAGGGGAAGGTTCGAGATGCCTCCCCTTTTTTTTTTTTTTTTTCTGGGTTTGGTATTTGGGTTTGTGTGGTTTTTGGGTTTTGGGTTTTTTGTGGTTTTGGGTTTGAGCTTTGGGTTTTGGGTTTTGGGTTTTCGATAATTGATGGGCTTTAACTTCAATGCATTTCACCCTTTAACTTTTCATCTCTCCAATTAAGTCCCTCGTCTTAATTTCCTTCATCTCCCTATTCCAATTTTTGTCGCAAAAATCCCCCTTTTTGTTCATGAACCTAACAAGAAAAAACAAAGACAAAACATATTAGTTAGAATAAAAATAAGACTAAAATAAAAATAAAATAAAATCCTATTAAAATTTGAGTTATGACAATTGCCCCTCCTTTTCTTTCCTTCCTGTTCTATTAAGAATGAAAAGAAAATATAAGAATAACTCAAATTTTTTAATGGTTGCTTTTCTTTTTCTTTTTTTTTTTTTTTGACTATTGAGCAACTAATCAAGTAAAGTGAAAATGGTCGAATGACCGAACAAGTAAGTAAAAATGGTTTTATAACCGCAACGGTCAAATGACCGAACAAGTAAAGTAAAAAAAAAAAAAAGGTGAAAAGACGGTTTTATAACCGCAACGGTTGAATGACCGAACAAATAAAGTAAAAACGGTTTTAGAACCACAACGGTCAAATGACTGAATGAGTAAAGTAAAAATAGTTTTATAATCGTAACGGTCTAATGACCGAACAAGAAACGGTTTTTTAACCAAATAAGAAACGGTTTTTTAACCAAGCGAGAAAATGATTTTTTAACCAAGCAAGAAACGGTTTTTTAACCGAGTAAAAATGGTTTTTTAACCAATCAAGAAACAGTTTTTTAACCAATCAAGAAACAATTTTTTAACCAAGCAAGAAACGGTCTTTAACCGAGTAAGAAATGGTTTTTTAACTGAACGAGAAAATGGTTTTTTAATCAAGCAAGAAACGATTTTTTAACCGAGTAAGAAATGGTTTTTTAAGCAAGCAAGAAATGGTTTTTTAACCGAGCAAGAAATGGTTTTTTAATTGAGCAAGAAACAGTTTTTTAACCAAGCAAGTAAATGGTTTTTTAACCAAGCAAGAAATAGTTTTTTAACCAAATGAGAAAATGGTTTTTTAACCAAGCAAGAAACGGTTTTTTTACCGAGCAAGAAATGGTTTTTTAACCAAGAAACAGTTTTTTAAACGAGCAAGAAATGGTTTTTTAACCAAGCAAAAAATGGTTTTTTAATCGAGCAAGAAATGGTTTTTTAACCAAGCGAGAAAATGGTTTTTTAACCAACCAAAAAACAGTTTTTTAACTGAGTAGAAATGGTTTTTTAACCGAGCAAGAAATGGTTTTTTAACCGAGCAAGAAACGATTTTTTAACTGAGCAAGAAATGGTTTTTTAACCAAGCAAGAAATGATTTTTTAACCGAGTGAGAAAATTGTTTTTTGACCAAGCAAGCAACAGTTTTTTAACCGAGTAAGTTGAATTGCAACGGTCAAACGACCAAGCAAGTTGAGTGGAAACAAGGGCGAATGAGGGTAAACATGACCAAGGGGCCGGATAAAGGTAATGTTTGAAAGATCTGTAAGAATGAAACGGATGTAAGTGAGACGACTTTCACATAGAAGATAATGTAAAATGAAGAGAGGTTAAGAAACTTCCCTGAACATATGGTGGATGTCCTTACTTGGCAAGAGTCAAGTGTCCTCTATGTTGTGCATACATTAATAGGCTCGATGACATGCTTTGCATAAAGTTCAGTGACTTGAGAACATCTCTAGTTTACTGGAGAACATTCTCGAATCATTGCAAGATAGGATAAGCACCATAACCATTAAATCAAGCTTCTGCTTTTCTCTACAATTTTCATCTCTCTTTTTTTATTTGTCAAGAGATTTCAGTTAAATAAAGCAATTATATTAACTAAAATAAAGTATCATAACCACTCAGCATCCCAATCTAAACAAGGAAAAGAAGGCTAGGGCATGGATAATATGAATGGATAGAAAGAAAAGAGTAGGATGTGGATAATATGGATAGACAATGTAATGAAGTTTCGAGGATGGTGTGACTTTAAGATAAACATGATTTTTGAAGCGCACAACTTTTGATGCAACAATTTTAACAAAGTTAGAAGGCATTCAGGCTATAAAGTGTTTGCTTCAAGAATTTATTTTCTTTGTAACTCCACCAATCTAGTCCTTAGCATATGAGACAATGTCTACTTCCATGTCAAGGCGGACAAATTGAATCTATCTCCTTCCCATGAACTAACCTTCCATGTTTTGAAGACTGAGCATAAACCACCAAGTTTTAGTTATGCTAACTGATTTGGACTAGCTGGAGAGAGGATTTTTTTTTTTTTTTTTATTGTTCCTTGACAGAGAAAGTTTCAAACCCTCAAATAAGGACTTTATATGGGCATGTAATGTGGCTTGGGGTTAGCCTATTATGAAAGAAAGGAATAAAGGCTCAAAATCCGTATATTCCCCTCACATTTCTCTCTTCACGACCTCGGTCATTCATGTGGGTTAATAAGAAGAAAATCATCTCGGCTTCTATGAACTTGGATGATCGCCTATTTCTAGTTCAAAAAGGGTAAGCAAAGGACAATATTAACTATTTGGGATAGAGAAACAAGGCCTTTCATCATTGAGTCTTCAACTTTCCAAGTCAAGGAAACATTTAGTTTGCTAGGTCACCTTTTTCTTCTTCTTCTCTCATTTTTTTTTTTTTTAGAAAAATTCATGATCAAACTAAGAGCTATTAAATTCTCTAATAAGGACCTTTATTGGCTTGTAAATGTGGCTTTGGGTCAGGTTATCAGAAAGAAGGATATGAAGGCTCAAAACCCCTTTCCATAGGTATTTCCTTTCATAATCACTCTTCACTTCCCAAGTTCATGATGTAGGTGAATTTGCATGAAAATCATCTCGCCTCTTATAATTTGGATGATTGCCTTTTCCATGGGCTCAAAGAGGATGACTAAGGACAATGTAAAGTGTTTAGGATAAACAAACATGGCCTTTCATCATTGAATCTATTAGCTCTTGAATTTGATCATGATTTGCTATCCTTAATCTAATGATTGCCATCATTTTGATATCTAAAGCTTCAAAACCCTCAAAAAAGAACTTTTCTTTTGGGTTATAATAGGGTTTGGTTAAGGTTTGATAAAAAGAATGGGAATTAAAGGCTCAAAATTAACCAACATGCCCCCCAAGTTACATGCCTTAGTTAGGAGCTTTCCATTTCAACCCTTGCCATGTGACATTTGCATT